TCAATTCATACACTTTAAATCATAAAAGAAATTTAAATTGAAAATATATGACTTTTTTTGAAAAAGCAGCAAAAACATTTCAAAACATAGTGAGTGGTAGTGATTTATGTATTTTCCATATATTATAAATATGTATTTTTTAAACAATTTTAAACATTTTGCTATTTTATTTTTAGTTTAAACTAAAAGCTAAAAATACTTAAAATATTTTCATCCTACCCTACCTCTACCTCCTTCACCCCTTAATCACTAAACTCGTTCTCTTTCTGTCTCTGTATGGCTTAGCGCTTTTTGCCATTTTGTTGTTCCACTTTAGAAAGTTGTTGAAAAGTTTACATGTTGTATTTGGTTGTTTTGTTTTTGGTTAAAAAGTGCACACACATTTCTTTTTTTTACACCATTTTTTTTTGCAAATGGATTAATACTACATGCAAAAACCTTTAACAACTTATTTGTGTTGCTGTTGTGAATTTTTTTGTTGTGCCACACTTCTGGCTTATTTTCGTACACCTGTCTGTGTTCAGTGTTTGCCACCTTTATACCAAATCTGACTTATAATGCTGTTGCTATCAACTCATTTCGAAAAAAAACTTTTTTTTTTAAATAAAAATTTTGTTAAAAATACTAAAATATTTTTCAAACCTTGTAGGAAATACAAAGCTAAAGAACAGAATTAAATATCGTTAAGTATATTCTACATAATCTACCGAACACTTGAAGCTGTTTAACAAAATTATTTAACAATTTCTCTAATTGATTTTTATACTAACTCCAGTTGTTCCTATTGACCTCTTTCGCCATACCATATCTATTAGTGGAAGCGTAAAAATTACATTCTGGTGCAACATTTAGTAACAATCAGGGTTTTGGTTTTGTTGGCTTTTTCAGTTAAAAATATATATTTCTTTTTTTTTCTTTTACGTTCATTTAATGTGCAATATCGAAAAACAGGAAGATACATATAGTCAAAGCATTCATAGGTACAAACGTTTCTTTTATATTGTATTCTTTTACTGCATGTTTCACCGCAATTAAGCGGATGAGACTCAAATTACCAATAATTTGTCTATTTATACACGGTGCTCAGAGTTCACAATACGTGAACTCGATTTAAATTAATTTGAAACTTACAAGATTTTTAATAAAAGAATTAAATCATTTGATGAATGAAGAGGGGAAGTTAAAGCTGAAATTTCAGTTCTAGTTCAGTTCTAGTTCAGTTCTAGTTCAGTTCTAGTTCAGTTCTAGTTCAGTTCTAGTTCAGTTCTAGTTCAGTTCTAGTTCAGTTCTAGTTCAGTTCTAGTTCAGTTCTAGTTCAGTTCTAGTTCAGTTCTAGTTCAGTTCTAGTTCAGTTCTAGTTCAGTTCTAGTTCAGTTGTAGTTCAGTTCTAGTTCAGTTCTAGTTCAATTCTAGTTCAGTTCTAGTTCAGTTCTAGTTCAGTTCTAGTTCAGTTCTAGTTCAGTTCTAGTTCAGTTCTAGTTCAGTTCTGGTTCAGTTCTAGTTCTGTTCTAGTTCTGTTCTAGTTCTGTTCTAGTTCAGTTCTAGTTCAGTTCTAGTTCAGTTCTAGTTCAGTTCTAGTTCAGTTCTAGTTCAGTTCTAGTTCAGTTCTAGTTCAGTTCTAGTTCAGTTCTAGTTCAGTTCTAGTTCAGTTCTAGTTCAGTTCTAGTTCAGTTCTAGTTCAGTTCTAGTTCAGTTCTAGTTCAGTTCTAGTTCAGTTCTAGTTCAGTTCTAGTTCAGTTCTAGTTCAGTTCTAGTTCAGTTCTAGTTCAGTTCCTATTCAGTTCTATTCAGTTCTAGTTCAGTTCAGTTCAGTTCTAGTTTTCAGTTCTAGTTCATTTCTAGTTCATTCTAGTTTCAGTTCTAGTTCAGTTCTAGTTCAGTTTCTAGTTCAGTTCTAGTTCAGTTCTAGTTCAGTTCTAGTTCAGTTCTAGTTTCAGTTCTAGTTCAGTTGTTCTAGTTCAGTTCTAGTTCATCTAGTTCGTTCTATTTCAGTTTCAGTTCAGTTCTAGTTCAGTAGTTCAGTTCTAGTTCAGTTCTAGTTCATTTCTAGCTCAGGTTCTTAGTTCAGTTCTAGTTCAGTTCTAGTTCAGTTCTAGTTCAGTTCTAGTTCAGTTCTAGTTCAGTTCTAGTTCAGTTCTAGCTTCAGTTCTAGTTCAGTTCAGTTCAGTTCTAGTCAGTTCTAGTTTCAGTTCTAGTTCAGTTCTAGTTCAAGTTCTAGTTCATGTTCTAGTTCAGTTCTAGTTCAGTTCTAGTTCAGTTCTAGTCAGTTCTAGTTCAGTTCTAGTTCAGTTTCTAGTTCAGTTCTAGTTCAGTTTCTAGTTCAGTTCTAGTTCAGTTCTAGTTCAGTTCTAGTTCAGTTCAGTTCTAGTTCAGTTCTAGTTCAGTTCTAGTTCAGTTCTAGTTCAGTTCTAGTTCAGTTCTAGTTCAGTTCTAGTTCAGTTCTAGTTCAGTTCTAGTTCAGTTCTAGTTCAGTTCTAGTTCAGTTCTAGTTCAGTTCTAGTTCAGTTCTAGTTCAGTTCTTTCAGTTCTAGTTCTTCTAGTTCAGTTCTAGTTCTGTTCTAGTTCAGTTCTAGTTCAGTTCTAGTTCAGTTCTAGTTCAGTTCTAGTTCAGTTCTAGTTCAGTTCTAGTTCAGTTCTAGTTCAGTTCTAGTTCAGTTCTAGTTCAGTTCTAGTTCAGTTCTAGTTCAGTTCTAGTTCAGTTCTAGTTCAGTTCTAGTTCAGTTCTAGTTCAGTTCTAGTTCAGTTCTAGTTCAGTTCTAGTTCAGTTCTAGTTCAGTTCTAGTTCAGTTCCAGTTCAGTTCTAGTTCAGTTCTAGTTCAGTTCTAGTTCAGTTCTAGTTCAGTTCTAGTTCAGTTCTAGTCAGTGTCTAGTTCAGTTCTAGTTCAGTTCTAGTTCAGTTCTAGTTCAGTTCTAGTTCAGTTCTAGTCAGTTCTAGTTCAGTTCTAGTTGCAGTTCTAGTTCAGTTCTAGTTCAGTTCTAGTTCAGTTCTAGTCAGTTTCTAGGTCAGTTCTAGTTCAGTTCTAGTTCAGTTCTAGTTCAGTTCTAGTTCAGTTCTAGTTCAGTTCAGTTCAGTCTAGTTCAGTCTAGTTCAGTTCTAGTTCAGTTCTAGTTCAGTTCAGTCAGTTCTAGTTCTAGTTCAGTTCTTAGTTCAGTTCTAGTTCAGTTCTCGTTCAGTTCTAGTTCAGTTCTAGGTTCTTAGTTTCAGTTCTAGTTCAGTTCTAGTTCAGTTTCTAGTTCAGTTCTAGTTCAGTTCTAGTTCAGTTTCTAGTTCATTCTAGTTTCGTTCTAGTTCAGTTCTAGTTCAGTTCTAGCTTCAGTTCTAGTTCAGTTCTTAGTTCAGTTTCTAGTTCAGTTCTAGTTCAGTTCTAGTTCAGTTCGAGTTCAGTTCTAGTTCAGTTCTAGTAGTAGTTTCAGTTCTAGTTCAGTTCTAGTCAGTTCTAGTTCAGTTCTAGTTCAGTCTAGTTCAGTTCTAGTTCAGTTCTAGTTCAGTTCTAGTTTCAGTTCTAGTTCAGTTCTAGTTCAGTTCTAGTTCAGTTCTAGTTCAGTTCTAGTTCCAGTTCTAGTTCAGTTCTAGTTCAGTTCAGTCAGTTCTAGTTCAGTTCTAGTTCAGTTCTAGTTCAGTTCTAGTTCAGTTCTAGTTCAGTGCTAGTTCAGTTTTAGTTCATTTTCGTAGTTCAGTTCTAGTTCAGTTCTAGTTCAGTTCTAGTTCAGTTCTAGTTCAGTTCTAGTTCAGTTCTAGTTCAGTTCTAGTTCAGTTCTAGTTCAGTTCTAGTTCAGTTCTAGTTCAGTTCTAGTTCAGTTCTAGTTCAGTTCTAGTTCAGTTCTAGTTCAGTTCTAGTTCAGTTCTAGTTCAGTTCTAGTTCAGTTCTAGTTCAGTTCTAGTTCAGTTCTAGTTCTAGTTTTAGTTCATTTAACAGAGATTAATTTACATGATCTCTCCATCGACAATTTTTTTGTGATATTTTAATACAACTCTATGAACGTATTCCTTTACAGTTCTATTCTATTTACCCACATATTTGTAGATGGCAGTTTGTTAACGTTTAATTTACGGCAAGTGGAAACCATTTTTATAAAGTTGCTAACAAATCAACATCATTGTCGTCATTACCATTCCAGCGCCAGTAAAAGTAACATAATCCTACTCATCAAAACTGCAGTTCATTTTACAGTTGAAAGTTTAAAATTCAAATGTTACTACTATATAGGTTTTACGAACACAAATATGTCGGTGAAATTGTCTGACTTACTGTCTGTCTTTCTAACTCTGCAACTGTCAGTGGCAATATGTCTATTACTGTTCTTTTTTTCCAAATGTATGTTAATTTAAAACCATTTCAAACTAATGTGAATGAATGAAGAATAAACTGGTAGACAGACAAACACATGTACTCCTAAATACCTATAACATAATACATACATATGTACATATTTATGTGTGTATAAGTATATATTTTGTATATTTTTGGTGATTAAATTTGTGGGTGGGAAAATGGCAGCAAAAACTAATTTTTTTTCTCTCTCTCATTAAAGAACATATTTTTTCTACGGTACTGATGTATTGCAGTTTAGCTGTTAGTAAGTAGTTTGTGGATTTTTTTTGTATATGCTGATGTTGAACCATATTCAATTTACTGTTGCAATTGCACTTTTAGTTTTGAAAATCAAATTTGCCAGCACACTTTTGATTTTCCACTGAAATGCATTTTGCACGGCTGAAATAATTTTTGCTTCACATACTACACTCTCCCTTGGCTTCTCTGTTAGTACGGTATTTCGATTCGAAATTAGTACTTGTACTTTTCAATTATGATTTTTTAGTTTGGCCTTTCTATACGCTGCCACGATTTTTAGTGTTTTTGTAGTGGGTTAAAGTTTAGTTCATACTTAATTAGAGGTACTTTTCAATTTTTGCTTTTTCATTTTTATGTATTTTTTTCGGTTAATTGAAATTGTTTAAAGGTTAAATTGTAAGCATTATGGTTAAGCATCAATGATTATTTGATGTTGTAATTAGAATTTTTATTTCAAAATTGTTGGTTACTAATTTTTATATTGTGTTGTTCTCATTACAGGGTGGTGAAGTAATACAGGAGAGTATTACCTCAAATGTTAGTGAAGACTTAATAACATTGGAATTTCAAAAAACGGATGGTACTCTAATAACGCAAATCATAGATTTTCGAAATGTAAGTATTTGATTACCTACTAGGGTGATCGATTATTCGACATTTTCCAAAAACCGGTTTTCGAATAGTTCGAATAGTTGACATTTCAAAAAAACCGGTTGATATTTTTCAAATTCAGAAAAAACCGGTTAACCGGTTTTTCATAATAAATAAAAAAATATATGTTAATTTGAAGAAATTAATGTTTATGATTAAGTTTGATGAATAAAACATGGCCCGAAATGATTTTTAACAGTTTAACAGATTATAACTTTAGATCTAGTCGTCTGATTTACATTATTTCTTTAATATAAAAAAAAAATTAGGAAAAAAGTGGACACTTCTGTTAAACATAAGGTACTATGTAATCCTAGCTTATTCTAAAGCCCTTTTAGGAAATTTTCATAGGCATTCCAACACTTCCATAATATTTCAGCGGTAAATTAATTATTGTAATTGGAATATAATCTTAAGATTAATAAAATTTTATTAAACAGCTATCAATTTTTCAAATAAAATTTTTTAATTAATTAGGAAAATCAAAAAAGTTTAACCAATGGTGCTTTAGAACAGCGGTTCCCACCGTTTTTTACTTCGCGGACCCCTTGAGGAATTTATTTAATTTCACGGACCCCCATATATATTTTGATATCTTATTGTTATAAATAATTGTTCATCCGAAAATTGTCTTAGTCCTGGTCCATAAACCCTATAAAATATTCCCGTACATTGAGAATATTTAGTATTTCGGAGATGTTTTCAATTGCATGGTTTTAATTATAGAATGACTCCTAACATGATGTTTAATTTTGAGAGAGCTTTCATGTTCATTTCTCGTCAAGGTAGCGAAAAGGTTACTTTATCAAGTATTGTCGACATGTGCTTAAAGAGTCATGTTTCTAAATTTTTTTTGCGATTGCATAGGAGTGAGCTGAGTATGTACGCTAAGTTTTCGGGAAAATATGTGAAAGTTAGACTTCTTCGATGTTGTTGCGGAATGCGTTACCACATAAAATATGACCTGAACTCTTTGCGAATGTACTGTGAATTTGGATCTTAAATTTGAATTTTAAAATACCTACGAATTATTTTACTGCGTGGTTTTGACTATTTACGCAAAACGCTATGAATTTTCTGATGTTGATTTAATAATATTGGACAACAAAATGAAGTTAAAATCTGTGTATCACGTCGGAATGGAATATTTATATTTAAAATTAACTAGATTAACACTTTTGCTTACAATTTAAAAAAAATATTATGAAATGTGACCTAACTTCATATTCCGGGATACCAGTATCAGTATTTAATTCTAAGGCAAATCATTATCCGTCTGATATAAAAACATTTATTTCGATACATATACATTTATAAAAATTACAAATCACGTAATATGTACTTTACTTTATAAAAGTGAAACGATAAATTTGTAGGGCCTAGCTTCATCCTGATAAACGACCGAAACAATAAAATTCAAAAAGTCGCCAACAAATCTGGGATTATTGAATAAAAATTGTGTATTTTAGTATTTATGAAAAATTTGGAGATATTTTTAATATTTTCTAACATATAGAGAATATTTTTTATTCATTAATTTTTTCCTCGTCTTCGCGGACCCCCTAGGATTTTGCTACGGACCACTAGGGGTCCGCGGACCCCCTTTTGGGAACCGTTGCTTTAGAAAAATATATCCTAGTTCCTGGACTCGAATATTTTTAAACGGGCTGTATTATTTACTTCAAAATTTCATTTGAATAATCTTTGAATACAAAGCAAATAAAAGTATTCGAAACCGGTTTTTAAAAAGTGAAAAAACCGGGTTATTCGATATTCGAAAAATCAACATTTAGAAAAAACCGACACTGGTAAAGCAGAAAAAACCGGTTTTAAAACCGGTTGAAAATCGAGTCGATCACCCTATTACCTACCTAACTAACTAACTAACAAACTAACTAACTAACTAACTACTAACTACTAACTAACTAACTAACTAACTAACTAACTACTAACTACTAACTACTACCTAACTAACAACTAACTAACTAACTAACTAACTAACTAACTAACTAACTAACTAACTAACTAACTACTACTAACTAACTACTAACTAACTAACTAACTAACTAACTACTACTAACTAACTAACTACTAACTAACTAACTAACGAACTACTAACTAACTAACTAACTAACTAACTAACTAACTAACTACTAACTAACTAACTAACTAACTACTAACTAACTAACTAACTAACTACTACTAACTAACTAACTAACTAACTAACTAACTAACTAACTAACTACACTAACTAACTAACTAACTAACTAACTAACTAACTAACTAACTACTAACTAACTAACTAACTAACTAACTACTAACTAACTAACTAACTAACTAACTAACTACTAACTAACTACTACTAACTACTAACTAACTAACTAACTAACTAACTAACTAACTACTAACTAACTAACAAACTAACTAACTACTAACTAACTAACTACTAACTAACTAACTACTAACTAACTACTGACTACTAAACTAACTAACTAACTACTAACTACTAACTAACTAACTAACTAACTAACTACTAACTAACTAACTACCTAACTAACTAACTAACTAACTAACTAACTAACTACTAACTAATTAACTAACTAACTAACTAACTACTAACTAACTAACTAACTAACTAACTAACTAACTAACTAACTAACTAACTAACTAACTAACTAACTAACTAACTACTAACTACTAACTACTAACTAACTAACTAACTAACTAACTACTAACTAACTAACTAACTAACTAACTAACTAACTAAACTAACTAACTAACTAACTAACTAACTAACTAACTAACTAACTAACTAACTAACTAACTAACTAACTAACTAACTAACTAACTAACTAACTAACTAACTAACTAACTACTAACTAACTAACTAACTAACTAACTAACTAACTAACTAACTAACTAACTAACTAACTAACTAATTCCTTCAACGTATGTTCTGCCATTCCAGGAAGTATGCATACTTAAGGCTTTGGTTTTGGGCGAAGAAGAACGTGGTCAAAATCTCTATCAGGTCATGTGTTTTGTAACGAAATTCCAAAAAGGTGATTTCATATCATCCGATGCCATGGCCAAACTACGACAAAAGAATCCCAGTACAATACGAACGCCCGAAGAAGATAAGGGTAAGGAAACTTTTACAATGACCTCATGGGTGCATCTCAATCGTTCCCAACCCATAACAAGACATCTGATAAGTGTGTGTGGTGAAGCGGTAGATGCCACATATATAAGAGATGTCGATTTGAAGGCATGGTCAGAGTTGCCAGGTGAGTAATAACTTATTTTTTTTTTTTTTTTGTTACAAACGTAGATTTTACAGAATACTTAAATCTTCTGGAATTCAAATATTTAACTAATGTTGATTTTTATTTCCTTTTTTTTTACTTTTCTTCCCCTTCCCAGGCTCCTCTATCTCTAGTCTCGAAGCAGCCACCGAAAAATTTCCTGATACCTTATCGTCACGTTGCAACGAAGTCAGTAGCCTATGGGCACCTTGCATTTGTACCTTAGAAACCTGTATCGGTTGGTATCCCTGTGGCCTCAAATACTGTAAAGGTAAGACGGCTGGTGATTCATCGGCTGCTGCTGCAGCACAAACAAACTATCGTTGTGGCATTAAGACTTGTCGTAAATGTTCACAATTCTCATATTATGTACGACAAAAACAGCAATGTTTATGGGATGAATGACGAGAACTGCAACAAATGACCCCATTACAAATAACAATAATAAGAACAATTCGAATAATTACAACAACTATGACTACAATTCATACAATTCATACTCTAAATTCTAATTATACACCAATTAATATTATTATAATGATTATTATCTTATGCTCATTGTACAAAATTCAAAAGACAATAAAAATGATGACGATGATGATGATGATGATGTTATTGACGTTGCTGATGTGGGATTTTCACAGTAATCTCCTACACTTAAGTAGTATACCAATTCCAACGAAAATACTTAATGTTAAGATTAATCGACATTGTATTCATATCCCCATAACATTGCTGTTGCTAACCATGTCGAGGAAATAACATTTACATGACAGAGCAAAAGTAATTGGAAACCAACAACACCACCACCACCACCACCATCCTCTACTGGCTTCATTTCTTTGTTAAAAAAAAATTATATTTTTTCTAAAAAGAAATATGAAAATGGTTAAGGTGAAATCTATGAAACAAAAATCAACGATGTGTTTTTGAAAACCCATTGAAAATGGTAATTTTCTAAAGTGCTTAAACAACAAAACTTGAATAATCTACATATATCTCTGTGTGTGTGTGTGAAACTGTATGTAAATAATGTAAATTGTTTTTATGTAAGTATATATTACATAATTATATTTTTTTATATAAACATACTATATATTGAAACTTGAACATATTTCTTTTCTTTTTTTCATTTTCATACTCTCTTATTACTTTTTTACAAAATATGCTATAATTTTTTAACAATTTAACAAACAAGACATGCAAGATAATTATTTATTGATTTAGTTCTTTTGTGTTTTTGATTTCTTGGAAAATTAAAATTATTATTATTAAATGTTTCTAAAAAGGTTTCATATTGTTATAAAAGAATATTAAACTGTTTAATTAAGATTTAAAGGAATGTTACCTTATTATTTTCTCCATTTTGTTATTTACCTAGATCTTTGTTACGCAGTAATTTCTTATTTTTTCAGTTGTATAATTATTTAATGTTTTAAAATATATTTAGTACACTGTTTGAATTATACCAGTTGAGGCAGCAGCTAAGGTTCGAAGGACCAATATATGGTGTTATCGCAATTATATCGCTTTTCTCCTTCAACTATTAGTTCACATATTTGGTTTTCTTTAATAATATAAACTAATTCTTAAACCTGAAATAAATTTGCCTGAATTTACGGTTCGAAGGACCAATGTTTGACATTATTAAAATTATAATATTTTGCATATTCTTTAGTGTGATTAAACCTTCTCGAATGTTAAGATTTCTTGCAACTATTACTTATTATTTATCCTTCTTTCTGTGGTTCGAAGGACCAATATTTGACGTTATTTTAATTACAATATTTTGCCAATATTATTGAATTTGCTTTCTACTAGGGTTCTATAAATCGACCTTCGAATAATCGAACAATCGAAAAATCGAAGTCGACTATTTTGTTCCAAAAAAGTCGATAACTCGACTATCGTCTGTGAAAAAGTCGAAAAGTTGACTTTGTTAATAAAAGTCGAGAAAAAGTCGAAAAGTCTGAAAGTCAGAAAGTCGAAAAGTCGAAAATTGTCGATAAGCCGAAAAGTCGAATAAATTCGAAAAAAGTCGAAGAAAGTCGAAAAAAGTCGAAAAGTCGTAAAAAGTCGAAAAGTCGGAAAAAGTCGAAAAGTCGGAAAAAGTCGAAAATTGTAGAAAAAAGTCAAAAATAGTCGGAAATTTTAAAAAAGTGGAAAAAAAGTCTAAAACTCTAAAATAGTCGGAAAAACTCGAAAAAAGTCAAAAAATAGTCGAAAAAAATTCGAAAGAAGTCGAAAATAGTCAGTAAGTCGGAAAAAGTCCAAAAGTCGAAAAGTCGACTATTTATAAAATACTTATAGTTGAAAAGTCTAAAAGTCGACTTTTAATTAAATGAAAAAAGTCGAAAAATCGACTTTTCATAAAATGTAAAAAGTCGAAAAGTCGACTTTTAACTAAATGAAAAAAGTCGAAAAGTCGACTTTTCGTTTCAAATATAGAACCCTCTACTTTCTACTTTTCTATTATTACAGATTATTTATCATTTTGGAATTATTATTTATTCAGTTTTGTTTCATAAAATATCTGCGGTTTACTAAAAACCTTTTTTATACCCACCATAAAAAATTATGGGAGGTATATTGATTTTGTCATTCCGTTTGTAACACATCGAAATATTGGTCATAGACCCACACAAGTATATATATTCTGGGTCCTTATTAAATTCTAAGACGATCTAGCCATGTCGGTCCGTCTGTCTGTCTGTTGAAAGCAGATAGATTCCGAACGGAACGAATATTCTCTGTGGGTAAGGTTTGTTTGGTATTGAAAATGGGCAATATCGGTCCACGTTTTCGGATAGACCCCATACAAGTACACCCTCGAAAACCAGCTTTAACGGGCATAGCGATGAAATTCGACATAAATTAGTTTAATATGATCCAAAATCTCCCTACCAAATTTTATGAGGATCGGTCGATAATTGACCATACCCCCCATATAAGGTCCCCTTCAGAAAATTACTTAAACGCTAATTGCTGTCTTAAAAATACGAGTATAGTGATGAAATTCGACACACATAAGTTTCATTGAAGCCAAAATCTCTCTATCAAACTTTATGTGAATCGGTCCATAATTGACCCTACTCCCCATATAAGGTCCCCTTCAAAAAAAAAAAAAAATACTTAAACGATCATTACTGGCTTAAAAATACGAGTGTAGAGCGATGAAATTCGACCCAAGTAAGTTCCTGGCGAACCAAAATCTCTTAACCAAATTTTATGTGGATCGGTCCATAATTGACCTTACCCCCCTATAAGATTCCCTTCAGATAATTAATTTAATGTTTATTTCTTACGAGCCAGAATCTCTCTACTGACTTTTATGAGAAAATTACTTTAAAGCTTATTACTGACTTCAAAATACTTTATGCAGTTGTCGAAGGATCACTGTTAATCATTCCGCTTATGAATAGACTTAAATTCCGCCAATTTAAAAAATTCTCTATGGTTCGAAGGGCCAATATTTGACGTTAATATAATTATAATATTTTGGGTATTTTATTTTATTATTTATCATTTAGATTATTTTTTAAATTATTTGCCGTTTGAAGGATCAATCCTAAACATTCTTTAATGTTAAGATTTCTTACGATTCGATTCGAAGGACCAATATTGGACGTATAAATAATCATAATTTATCATTGAGATTATGTTTTAAATTATGATTTATTCAGTTTTATTTCATAAAATATCTGGGGTTTGAAGAACAATGTTCATTCTAATTAAGATTATTCCGGTTCTAATTAACCAATGTTCATTCTAATTAAGATTATTCGGGTTTCGTTAATAAAGTATTTGCGGTTCGAAGGACCAATATTAATCATTGAATCAGTTTTTGTAGTGGATAGTGGTAGTCTAAAGACTCAGACAGGGTCATTGTTCAATTAGAGCTTTTACTGGGATACTTCTATATTGGTCCATGAGGAGACTATAGTGCATATAATTTGTCATTGTCCTAGAATATGGAATCTCAGGCATAAAAATGTGAAGTAGATCCTATGACGAACTGAGGAGGTATAACCTAAGCGATTCTCCTGATAGGTTTTATCAGACTCAACCAATTTAAACTATCAAGTGATTTACTGGGAACTGTGTGATTCAGGATGAATTATAATAAGTGAACCTATTGTTTTTGGTCCATTTATAGAATTATTTTCAAACGTAGAGTTATATATTTAGAATACTGCTTGACATTATTCTTTTTCTTTATTATTTCTTAATTTTTTTTTTCATTTAAAAATCTTGTATGTCTTTAACATCCAAACACTTTCTTTTTTTAATAAAATATCCCTCTTAATAACAAAACATTTACTTTTTCTCTAAAAATGTGGCCTTAGTATCTAAAAAATTGTAAAAAAAAAATCTCTAAAAAATATTAAAACAAAACGTGTTCAAAAACTAAAAAAAAAAAAATATAAACAGAAAAATACCTTTAAATTCCAAAATAAAAAAATAGAACGATAAAACCTAAAAAATATAAATTTCCAGTATTTTGTTTAAATTTCAAAATTACCTAAAAAATTAAAAAAAACTAACATTCCCTTTAAATTAAAAACTACGAATTAAATTAAATAATTTGAATAAATAAAATACCACAAAACAAAAAACAATAAATGAACAATAATATTTATAAAAAAAAATCTTCTACTATAATTAATAACTACTACTTACTAAAAACACAAAACTTAAACTATATACAATAATAATTATAAAGAAAATAAATTAAATCTTAAAAATTAAGACGAAAAAAACAAGAAATTACTACAACCAAAACTTTAGGGGAAAAATTATATAACGATTAACGTAAAGCTTGGCTTAAACCTAAATCCTTTTCTTATATAAGAAAAAAATATATATATATTTCTTATAAAAATGTTGAAATTTTCTATATACTTTCTTGTTTATTAAACTAACTTGCCCCCTTTACAAATTTTTGCCATTTTTTTATTTACTTTTTTTTAATAACATTTTTATATTTAAATAATAATTAAAATTCTTAAAACCCAAACATTTTTTTAACAATTAAATATAAAAATCCTAAACCTTGCGCCAATTTGTATATAAATTATTAACTCAAATAATGTAAATCATTACAACAGAAAGAAAAAATTAAATGAATTATTAGTATAATGATTAATTACTTAATAATATGTTTAAAATAATAAATTAAAGAAACCCCCGCGTACTGTTAAATTTTAAGATTTAGCTATTTAAGTAAAAATTAATTAAACAAATTAAAAACAAATTTAATTTAAACTTAACCTATTTAAGTTAATATTTAAATATTAAGTAACAAATCTATAAATGAAAACAAATTAATAAAAAAATTTTATAAAAAAAATAAATAAAAAATATATGCGAAAATAAATGAAGTTTTTTTTTATTTAAAAAAGTTTGCTATACAAATTTTTAAAAATTTTTAAAAGTTTTAAAAAAAGGCAACTTTACAAAAAAGGTAGGTTGTTACTAAACATTTTGCTGTTGCTTAATTTTTTGTCATAACATCTCATTTAATATTCTACTAATTTGAAACTAATCTGGACAGAGTAGTCGTCTATAGAGTTATCCATAACCTAGTCCATAGACTAGAACATATAGTACTAGTAACCAGACTATTCAACAGACAACTCCATAGTCTAGTAATATAGACTAGTCCATGGGAAGGCAGTAGTCATGGCAATATACTAGACATGGCAATTAACTAGTCCGAAAACTAGTATAGTACATAGACTGGTCGATAGACTATTCTAGATTGACTAATCAATAGATTAAACAAAAATTAGTCAATATACTAGTCAATAGACTAGTCAATACACTAGTCATTAGATTAGTTAGACTATCTAATAGGCTAGTGA